CTGAAAATAAAGCAATGACTTGTGAACTTTAGATAATTAAAGGAGTGAGTTTATGGTTACAAATCTCTCTGTCCAGTATGGTTGGTTAGTGGTTGAGGCTTGATTTTTATGGGGTAGATATCTTGATACTAGAAGAATTATAGGTCCTCCAGATATGTTATGTTCACTACTACTCATAACACATATTATTTATTTTCTGATTTTTTTTCTTTCAGCTTACACTTTGGGAAATGTTAAATGCCTTAATATGGTTTGTTAAATGCCTTAATGTAGTTTATTCACTCATGGAGATGATATAATCCAGGAACCTTTTTCTAAGTTACCTAGTTTTTTTTTTTGTATTCCAAAGTAATATAATTCCAATTTTGAGGTAGAATTAAAGGTGAGTTATGGAATTATTAATAATGGATAACATATATTTTATCACATTCTTAGTTTATTGCTTAAAATGTCAGCTTTTAACTACCCCAGTATTTAAACAAAGCAAGACACTGAGGCAAGTAGCAAATTATGCCTATCTTGCTAACTACAGCTGGTGACATTCTGTTGTAGACGTGTGGGGGCAATGTCATGCTTTTGTGAATAAATTGAATTTAAAACACAAGTTCTTCAGAGTTTTTTTCATGTATTTTTCTTCTTTGTCTTATATTATGTATAGCATCTCAGGGTGGTGGTAAAACAAGCAATGCTTGGTCTCTCATCCCCTGCCTCGCAATTAAATACCCAAGAGGATATTTAAAAAGAAAAATAGAAACTTATAATAGTTCTGTAAATTAAAAATAAAAGATTTTTGGCAAAGTCCAGGGAGAATTTATTTCATTTGCAGGAATGGACTTCCAAGCTTAATCTTGAATGCCATGTTATTTTACTTTGTGAATCTAAATTAGGTCAAAATGTCCAAAAGGAGTAGAAAAAGACTAGAAGCCGTGCTCACTCACAGAAGCTGGACAACAGGCAGCCATGTCACCAAGGAATTGGAGTTCTCAGACCCCCCACTGGGGCCCACATTAGCACCTATATTTCCAGATCATTTCAGAGACTAAAATGTCCCAAACACAAAAAAGCAAGAAATAGAGAAGGTTTGGAAGAGGAATGTAGTATCCATAGAGAAGTACGTTGTGAGCAGGCTGTGCTAGGACATGTGCTCTCTACAGCCTACACAGAAAACAGCAAATGGCATGTGTTCCTCTGGCTTCCTGTTCAGACATCCCTGCTTGGGCAGTCCATCTTCAGATCAGTTCCAATGAGAGCAGTGTTTGCTTGGAATCCAGGTTTTAGGAACATGAATCTGTTTTTGAAGTTTACATGGCTGAAAAATCCAACTACTTTTTTTTTTTTAAATGCCAGATGTCAGTCCTGGTGAATCTGTTTCTATCTTAGTAAGGATGAGAGTTTTTAAAAAGAGAAATAAAAATTGAAGGGGCACTATGGAAAGACATGGGAGGATAAAATGTTGCCTGAAGATTTAGAAGAAAATGATTTTTTTTCTACCAAGCAGATGAAGTTAGTGTCCTCAAAGAATCATGAGGATATGACCTCTGCCGAGATGGGACAAGCTAAAACAAGGAAAAAATGCAGAAGTTTGCTGAGATAAGGAAAAAAGATCAAGAAACCTAAAATGGAGCAAGTAAAGAAAAAAATGATAGAAAAGTTTTTAATAATTCACTCAGTAAATGTTCATCATTAAATATTGAACACTTACTATGTGCCTTCTATTCTAGCCATGATGATGCTGTATTGAACAAAACTGATTAAGCACTTATGAAAGGCCCACCTAAAAGTTGTTAAGACTTATCATGGAAAGTACTAGAAAAGTAGGAGTAGGAGAAAACTTTTTTTTTTCTTTTTCTTTTTTTTGAAAGTACTGGCTGAACTCATGGTCTTCAAGCTTGTTATGCAGGCTGTCTACCACCTGAGAAACTCCACCAGCCCTAAGAGAAAACTTTTCTAATTTCATTGACTTGGGGGTAATATTAGTTCAAAAAATTCACACACACACACACACACACACACACACACACACATACACGGAGCGAGCTGTTTCTCCCACTCCCTTGTTATTACTGAACCTAACTGGGCTTAACTGGGGGAGAATGGAGATTCGGAAAAGACACAGGATAGACAGACAGACAGAAAATGGGATTGGGTGTGTTGGGCGCTCGGGTGGAGCCGCACAACCTTCATTGCTTCTTTTCTCTATTATTCTCTTCATTTTACTGTGCTTCTTTTCTCTGTCTTTATTCTTTAAGGCCTTACTCCTTTACAGTTCTTTAAAACCTTGCTTCTAAAGTCTTCCTTAAAACCGTGCTTCAAACCTCTTTCCTTAGACTCTCTCTGTCCCATGTTTTCTCTTAGCTTTTCTTTTTATAATCTCTCTTAGTCTTTGCCCCCACACTTGCACTGTCTCATGTTCTCTCTTTAGCTTTCTTAATGTCTCGGCCCTCAGGCTTGCTAGCAATTGTCCTTCAGCAGTCCTCCCTTCAATTCATTTTCCCCTTTCAGCAGTCTTCCTCCAGCACTTTTCCTTCAGCAATTCATTTTCCCTTCAGAATTCCTTTTCCCTTCAGCAATTCTTTTCCCTTCCAAAGCCTCCCACACCAAAAAGCCAAAATCCCAAAAGCCCCCCACAAAGCAAAAGCCTCTTGTCCTCCTTCAGTGAGTCTTTTCTATCCAGTGGTAAACAGGGTGGAGCAGCGGTTCTCCCTCTGGGAGGGGCATGACATTGTAACAGGAGAAATCTGAGTTCCTGCTTCTCTGAACAAAAACAATTTAGGAGAAGCAGCCAATTGGCTGCGCCAATTTCAGCCTACAGATAAACATTTTAGGAATAACAGTTGAGCTGCATCTCGCCTTGCTTATGTCCAGTTCTCATAGGCTTCTCATAATCTGCTCTACACACACACACACACAAACACACTCTAGATATATTCTAATAATCTCAAATTTTTATTTCAAGGGATAGGGAAAGTAGTAATATCTAGGCAGTAAAAAGTAGTTGTCTATATTGGAACAAAAACCAATTTGGTCACAGAATTCTTTTTTACTTCATTAACTATACCAGATACCATCAGAGCATTGCTCCTGGTTTAGAGCCTTATGTGCTCATATTATAATTTCTTAATGTTAGAAAACAGCAGCACATTTTTTAAAACCCTTAATTTTCTTCCTCTTGGAAAAGCATCTAATGTATGCACTTGTTGCAAGACTATTTATTCCTATCTGCTTTAAAGTTATTTTAATAATCATGTAGAGTTACAGTGTTGATGTGAGTGGCACCTTCCAGGGCTTTGTGGTAAACATAAGTTTACAGCGAATCCTTAAGAATGTAATGTTTCCATCCCAAAATTCTGTGCTTGACAACTTGCTGTGCAGTGTGAGAATGTTCAAGTAATAGGAAACTAGGGGTATTTCCTCAGAAAATCAAGCACTGAGAAAAATCGTAGGGAAGAGGGCTGTTGGTAAACAAAGAAGCCAATTGAATATGTAGATAAATATAGATGAAATATAATAGCCTGTGTATATAATTATAAATTAGATTAATTACCAAAACCTATTCTCAAAATAAATTTATTTAACCAAGTGACATAAGAAGATCATGATGTATGACCTAAGATTTGAAAGTTTAAGGTCCCAATAGTTTAAACTGGTTCTGGCATAAGAACAGATGAATGGAAAGCTCTGAAAGTGGGTCGGGACATGGTTCAAGTGGTACAGCACCTACCTAGCAAGCACAAGGCCCTAAGTTCAAACCTCATTACTTAAAAAAAAATCTAGAATATGTATGCAAGTATGGTAAGATGTAATAGCTAAAAAAAAACTCCATGTTAAAAGAGAGAGGGAAAATTGGTTCAGTATTTGGAAATTATATTACATCTGGATTCTCTCAGTGTATAACTTAATTAAAATAAATTGCAAGTGGATAAAGATTTAAGGAAAGAAGTTAAACCACTAAAATATCAAAGCACATACATGTGGGTAAAGATAATAGCTTTGGGCCCAGAGCTGTTGGACATAATTTAAAAAGCCTATTTCAAATAATTTTAGTGGATAATTTATATTCAACAATAACAAAAACCCTAAATAATTCAGTGATCATGACAACCTGAGGATATTTTAGCAATGAGTTTTTTTCATCTATTAATCAGTAAAAAAATTTACTTTCATAGTTTTTTTATGCATAAGCGAGGGCGCATGCAGCGCTGATAGAAAGAGAAACTTGTTCTATCTCTTTGAATAAGATAACAAATCTTTAAAAAAGTACATTATATGGTGTTTTTGGCACCAGTTATAGACTCTGTGTTTCTTAAACTAGCTGCTGAAGGGAACTGTGAATGTTGTATTTTTAGATGTCCGTCTGGCAGTATATATTAGGAAGCTTTAACATTCATACCCTTTGAACCAATTATATCACTACAGAATTTGCTCTAAATGGGAAATAAAGATGCAGTTGTTGAAGGCAATGTTCATTGATAGAGTGGTTAAATAAACAACCATTAAAGATAGTGGTTTTAAAATTTATTTTAATGACTGGTCAAAATGCTACTTATACAATATCAGTAAATAACTTAAAAAGATATAGTTATGATTCCAATTTGAGAAAAATTTACTAGAAGAAAATATACTGGAATGTTACGAAGGGTCATATGAATATTTCTTGATGTCTTTATACTTTTTGTTCCTTTTATATCCCGCACTTTTGAGTAACCTGAAGACATAGACACTTCTGGTTTATGATTCATGCATATTCTATAACCATTTTTGTTCTTTAATTCCTTCCCTTTTCCCTTTCTCCCCCTTCTTTCCTTTCTCCTACTTCTTTCCTTAACAATGTCTGAAGGTTGGTAAGAAAAAGAATTTTGTAACCAAGAAATGGGTGGCTGTGGAGGAAGATAATCTATTTTTTCCTGTCTGGTTTCTTGCTACTCTGTTCCCCAGGCATTTGGATCCCCGATTGGAAAAACATTGGAGAATGACTTTCCCTCTGCCTCTTTCTTTTGCAGGAAACACATGAAATTGTGGCAATCAAGAAATTCAAGGACTGTGAAGGTATGTCTATATTTTTTGTAAATAAAGTGTGGAAGGGTGGGATTTAGCTGGTTAGACTCTGTCTAACTCTGACTCAGGTTTTAAAGTCACATAGTCAGTGAATATGCTTTGCTTTAAAACATTTAGTTCCTTGTATGTGAACTTTATTATATCTCATGATATAAGAAAATGTGTTTTGTGTTTTAAGGACAATTAGCATTGTAACTCTTGGCCCAAAGGCTGAATAGAAGTCATCTTTAGCTCTGCTGTTTCCAAATAAATTAAAATGAAGAGCTGAGGCACATACTTTTTTTTGTGGTACTGGAGCTTAAACTCAGGACCTACACCTTGAGCCACTCCACCAGCTCTTTTTTTGTGATGGGTTTTTTCAAGATAGGGTCTCATGAACTATTTGCCCAGACTGGCTTTGAACGGAGTTCCTCCTGATCTCTGCCTCCTGAGTAGTTAGGATTACACAGGCGTGAGCCACCGGCATCCGACCGGCACATACTTCTTTAGTTCATACAAGTAGAGAGTGCTGTGTGAAAGGTCTCAGTATTGGTGACTGTGAACTTCAGTTCCTTGTCAGAGTTAGAAATATAAGGATAAGTGGGAGACAGTATTGAAGGGGTGATTTTATATTTAGAATCTATGACTGGGGAATAAGTTTTTCAAGAAGATATACCATGCTTGGGAGCCTCAATTGTACAGCCAGACCATTTTAAATGAAGTATGAAAATTACTCTTTGCTGGACAAGGTTTTAAATAAAGCATTTAAGTAGTTCATTAGTTTTTATATATTTACCTTTGTCCATCCAAACTGATAATGAAAATCTGCATGTTTTAAGGAACCCTAGTTTTTCTCAAACTTTTTTAGACAGAGACTCCAGTAGAAATATTGTATGTCCTAACCCATTGTACACACACATGCCATCCTATATATAACTGAAGCAAAAGTGTCACAAACTACTTTATTGTACTAGAATGATGTACTCCATTTTTTTGTTCTTTCCTATTATATAAATTCATATAAATACCTTTGTGGTATCAGATACAGTCACAACCTGTCATATGAAAAACAATGGTCTAGGGGTAAGAGGTACCAGCACAGCATCAGCCTTCATATCTAACAAGAAGTATGAAGATAGCTTTTATAGCCTACCTTTATCAGCACACATTTACTAAGCACTGTAAGATACCAGCTTCTATATTTATGAACAGTTTCATCACCCTCACCTCAGAGACATAGCAAACATGAAATAACAAAAAAGGCTTGCTAACAAAAAATTCTCAGGATAGATTTAGTAGTATTTGATGTGACCAAACTCTGATGTGCTGGTTATGTGGAGCGCATGCATATCAGTTGGGAACTTTGGCAGCCTTTTTGAAGGCTGCCTGAAAGGAAGGCAACAGAAGCAGTAGCCCTGGGCCAACACACTGTGAGACCATTAGAAATAACCGCTTTGAATAGTGACTTTGGGCTAACAAAAGGTGGCCCAGAGATAACTGGTGATCTCCTTAAAAGGGTAGTTTCAACAGTAGATCAGAACACCACCCTTGCATGCATGTGGAGATTTCTGGCTGTGCGTTCATCTTGCAGGGCACATCAGCGAACATCAGTTACCACTAAAAGTAATAATTGTCATCACAGTTTTTAAAAGGAATGTAATCTAGGCCATGTATACTACTGCTTTTTAAAAAACTAAGTGCTATATTCACAATTTACACCCTGTGCATACCAATGGAGCTTAGCTCCAGTTATATGACATATATTTACTTCTGTTATAATAGCTTTGGAGTGGTAGTAAATAGTGTATCCATATAAATTAATTGAATACTGAGCCAGGTGCTATAACAGCAGTTATAATTCAGGAGTACACGCTCAAGAAACTTATAACCTACTAATAGAATTAAGACCTTTAAATAGATAATGATGAAACAGAATAGAAAACAGTTAGTGCCTGAGCAGGGCATAATGGGACACGCCTATAATTCTAGTACTTGGGAGATAGAGGCAGGAGGATTGCGAGTTCAAGGCCAGCCTGAACTACATAGTGAGACCCTGTCTTTAAAAAGAAAAAAGTTAGTGTCTGAAATGGAGATGTGGAACTTGGATCACTTTGAGGCAAGAGAGCTTGTATCCAGTTGTGACATCTGGGAGTATATATGTAATCTCAACATGGGAAACATTCGATTTGCCCTTATTTCACTGAGTGGACAAGACATTCATATACTCTTCCAGGCCATTATTGTTTGCATATCTCACTGGCATACAACCTTATCACCCATCCCACCTTGTTAATGTATACTTGTGTGATGCCTACACATACTTCTAGAGGTACCCTTCCAAAATATCTCTTTAATAAAATCTGAAGACTGAGGCGATTATTTACAAAATTTTAATTTTTTCTTTTGAAAATCTTCTTTATTAAATGTTTCTTTTTAAGAAAATTTTATTAGTGTTTTTATTGTGCTTGGGTACATTGTGACATTTACAAAAGTACTTACAATATATCTTAGTTAAATTTACCCCTTCCATATTTGTCCTTTATCTCCCCTGCCCTGCTTCTTAGAATAGTTTCAACATGTCTCATTGTTCCATTTTCATATATGAGTATATAATATTTCTATCATATTCACCCTCCTTCACCCTTTCCTTATTTCCTCCCCCATCCCACTGGTACTAACCCCCAGACAGAATCTGTTTTACTTCCTGTCCTTCCTTTTTAAAGAAGACATTTTTTGTTTAAGATAGCTATACAGGGAATTTGATTATGACAGTTCCGTGTATATATGTATTATATCCCGAATTGGTTCACCTCCTTCATTTTTTGCCTTTCTACCTTAGTCCCCTTCTTACAGTGATTTCAACAGATTTAAACATTATATAGTCATTCATGTATACAAACTACATCAACCACATTCAAAAGTTTTAGTTCTAGCCCACACTCCTACTGTTTCCATTTCTCCCTGGGAAATCTAGTAATATCCTCTTGGTCTTTACCCTCTTCTTTCTACCAGAGTAGTGTCTTACTTAATGCAAAGAAAGGGTACAAGTATGATATACAACCATTTTGAAATAGGAAGTATACATAGATAGTTACCTACAAGTAAACATGTCCATTGAACTCCTGTATAAATCGTTTAATTCTGAATCAGTTTACTATCTTAAATTTCAGCCAAGCCTGTTAAAATAAAAAGTAGGCTGTCATGATAATATTGCCCTTATTGGCTTATAGCTCTCATCCATTCCTCTTATTAGTTACTCCAAAAATACTCTTTTATATTGTAATACTGACTATTCTAATCTAATATTTTAAAACTTTGTGAAGCCAGCTGTGGTAGTGCATGTCTGTAATCCCAGCATTTGGGAAACTGAAGGATGAGAATTACCAATGAGGCCAGCCTGGGCTACATAGTGAAACCCTGTCAGAAAAAAAAAAATCTTTGAAGATAATGAAATAATTCTGTAAAAGCAAGGTTAAACTAAAATGGATCTATACTTGGTCTGACCCATGTTCAAGCTAACAACATGTTTTCTAACTGATGATACCAAGACTATTTTGCCAAAATATGTTGTACAAATTATCTCCTGGCAGCTTTGAAAAATTATGATAATGTCCTACTATCTTGTTAAATTCATATGTATCCACAAATTTGTGTAAAACACCTTTGAGAGTACACTGTAAAGTCAACCACTATTTCATGCCAGAGGTCCGTAGTATCCCAGGATAATTAATCATCATTTAAAATGAGAACCAAAATTTCATAGTAAATAGAAGGGTATATGGGTACTTTAAGCTGGAAAAGTTAAACTAACATTATGAAAATAAGTTATCATTAACACAATTTAGCAACTATGTGCTAGTTCTCTTAGGAGAATCAAGTGTCATCTTTTGGGAAGAAGGAACAATTTTTACAGTAAAATTGCTCATCAGTTCAATGAATGACTTCCACAATATAAGATTTCTCTTCATTTTTTTGTTCCAATTTTGTTTTTTTTCCTTCAACTTTCTCTAAACCTTAGGTCAGTGATTTTAGCTTTCTTTCTTTTTGTTTTTGGTACTGAGGTTTGAACTCAGGACCCTATGCTTGCTAGGCAAGCCCTGTACCACTTGAATCATGCCCCCATGCTCTCTCTTCATTTTTTATCTTCCTATCTTTCTGTCTTTATCTTCTTCAGGTTTTTATTCTCTAGTTACTAGCTGATACAACTTTGTCAGATAATTTATTATTGTCTTTGGTTACAATTCTCCCTGAAATATTTTGATGCCCTGGGTGGAAGCAGAAACTCCTATTAAGAGGAATGAGTGCTGTCCGAGTGGCTCGAGTGGTAGAGTGCCTGCAGCAAGTGTGAGGCCCTTAGTTCAAACCCCAATACCACCAAAAAAAAAGAGGAAGGAACATGAACTGGGGGTGTGGCTCAGTAGTAGGGTGCCTGCTTAGTATATAAGAGGCCTTGGGTTCAATCCGAGTATCAAAAAAAAAGGGATGACAATGAAAAATTTTATCTGAGAGCCACTTTATTGTTAATTTTTTCTTGTTTTAAAGACTTCTGCTTCTTGACACTTCATCATAAATTCAGTCTCAGACAGTGAATTCTTAGTAATACTCTGAATAATGGTATTACAAATTTGTCCATTAATGTGAGTTTCTACAGAGAAACATTAACTAGTAAATACCTAACCAAGCAGAAGTCTCTATTGAATTAGTTCTACTCATTATTTGGATTTTCTGAGAAGAAAAAAGACCACAGACTGTAAAAGACATTGGAGATTATTTAGTTAATCTATGTATAATTTTTCATTTAGCCTGATTCTGCTACCCTTTTTGTAACTCCAGTTTTATACAGTGAGATTTGATGTTCAGATGAAAATCTGAAACTATTGGATCATCATTCTCACACATAGACACATACAAGTGTCTACTGTCCCAAATTTGTTAAATAATCCATGAGCACTGATTTTGTTTATAAATCCAAGTGTCAATTTATTGATATGCCCTGAGCATCTTAATAATCA